ATGAATGGGTGCTTGAATCTCTTTGAGTGATGCAGGATCTGAAACTAATGTTTAGTCTGTTGTGGTTCGTGCTGGGTTCAGCCGAACACTGAAATGGTCATGTCATTAAGTGTTCGGCTTCGTGTTTGGCTCGTGAATGGTTGTGGACTACTTTTGGTTCTGAGTTAGGACGAGAGTTTGGTTCCGGGACTAGGATTTGGTTTCGCCAGTTCTAGACAATGGGCGACTTCACTGAGGATTAGGGTGGTGGCTCGGCTCAAGCACGCTGTGAATGAGGGGGCGGCTGTGAGCTTGTTGCGTTTCGGCCATCATCTGCCCGTCGCCACCGTTGTGGGCCTCTGCTGCTGCTGCTGCCTGGTGCCTGGTTTCTGGTTTCTGCCTCTTGTGCGACCCGTGCCCAGTCGCGCTGCTGCTGCTGTCACGCAATCGCCGTGAGCGACAGCGGCTTCCCGCAGGCCTCAAGCTCGGAGCGACTCCGGCGGTGAACTCTTGCCCGCGTCTGTGCTCGCTCGGCAAGTGACGTTCCATTTGAGGTGACGAGGGATTGGCCACTTTAGTCCGACACTTAAGGCGAAGCAGTCCGAACCGTTTCGTCTGCAAGACACTTGCATGGCGACCCGCTCCCGTCACTCGGCGACTACACGCGCGACCCCGCTCATTTGTACGCGCGCAAGCACACATGCAGTGGGACGCAGCGGCAGCAGCTGCTTAATCAGCTTCACGATCTTAAATTCTCAGCCGTAGCTTCTGCCAGTGCTGTCTCATGCAGAGTCTGAAGTTACCGAGGTCATTGTCCTCAAGCCACGGGTAGAGCCGGTCACATGAAGGCATCAACTCACCGTGGTCATGTTCAGCATTTCCAGTGCTTGATACACTTACAGCACAGGATGACGTAGTCATTGTCAAATTATAAATTTAATGGACAACTTTTACAAACAACTTCTTGCGATTTCAACTCCGAGTCTTATCAGCACGAGTCGTGAATGGCCACCATTGGGCCTGTTAAGCACAGCACGAAAAAATTGTACCCAGCTGATTGTGCCGTCGTGGAGGACTTTGGGTAACAAACGTAGGGATTAGAGGGGCTACGTTGAAACGAGTCCAAGGTGCCCTGCTTAAACAATGCTCCTGCAAGTCATTGGTACAGAAGGCAGATGGACTGATATGGGGGTTTTTGCGTTTAGACACTCATCTCTTCAATTGAACACAGTTTTGCAGTTCATAGAGCCTTGTTTAAACTAAACGTTGTGAGAAGGCGCCACTGCCTTAGCTCTGTCACGATCTGCCCTTACACCTCTTGAAACAATGCAGGGGCCTCTTGTGGTGTGCGGTCACTGCTGGGGCCGATCCCTCTGTCCCTGCTGAGGCAGTGGCCCTCTGGCCCTGTACAAAACCAGCCAGGTGGCACAGTGGTTGGAGCTCACGCTTCGCAAGAGTTCAAATCCTGGTGGGGGGTCGACTGGGCCCATCATCTTTATGAAGCTGAGAGAGGCATACTACTTTGTGGGGAGACATCGCAGTGTTTATCCTGTCACACACTCAGGAATGTGGAGTTTCTCCCGTTGGCTCAGGAGATTAGTTGAGTTTTACTGCATGCTTTTTTTTCTGGTGACCACGATTCACGTAATGTTAAGAGATTTTATGTATACATCTGAGCACACACACTATTTTGCATAGGCAAATATTTGGGTTGTATGTATACTCTTTAAAGACTATGTAGGATTTGATTTTCAGAGCATATACAATTGTGATGTAATAACTGGAGAGAGATCATGATAAAAATATTGATTTGCAGCAACAATTAACTGACCTATATTCTGAAGCGATTGTGTGTTTGGTCTCAACCAAATGTATACAGCCAGCCAGCGTGTGGACAAGGTGTTTCACAAACACGTCCAATCAAAATATACTAAAGCGACGACGAAGCCTCTCATGAATGCAGAGAACTATGCAAGTAAATAGTCGGCACCAAAAGTACATAGCTGGGTCACAGGGCATCATGGTAAAATGTAGATTACCCTGTGTGGTGTCTGTGGTGTTTGTGTGTAGTGTATGTAGCCTGTTTGTGTTGGTAGTAAATCAACACTAGCATTCTTTACTCGTTTTGTTCTTATTAGCCATCATCACTGCACTGTCCGCGACATGTACAGATTGTGTTTTATGGCTGCCACAGAAAGCAACCGGCCCACACACTGCCAGGCATCCTCCTTAACAGCCTCAATAAAAGCCTTTTCAAGGCTGGTGTTTAGGAGCGGGCTGTAGTGATGGGAGAGGATGTAGTCTTGTTTTACAGGCCTTTAGGTTGTGCTAATTCCTTTCTTTACGAAGGTCTCACAGTGTGTGCCAAGGGCAGTTCCTGAAAACAGCTGTGGGATACACACAGTTCCAGTAGTATAGCAGGGTTGTACCACTCTGATGATTCGCACTAAAGATGTAACCAGTCCGCATTGAAACTCGTTTATTATATATGGTTGTACCATTGTGACGATTTTTTTTTATTTTCACCGCACTTCACAACCATTTTACATAATGTTAAAGTGTCGAGTCAAATGCGTCCCTGTTAAATGAGCAAGAGGGCATCACTCCACTCTTGTCGGTGGCCCTGAGCCAGTGGTGGTAATTCCACATTCCAAAGGCAAGGACCAGTCTGCAGGATTGCCACTGGTGGCACCACCGGTGGCTAAGATTGTACTGACATGTACTTACACTCCTACAAAAGACGCACTCGGTATTATGGTGGTGATTTCCCCACATAGTCCTGTGGTGTAAACGCAGCTCATATTTCACGTTAAGTGTGTTTGATATTTCGTCTCAATCTGCACTATTTTTCCAGTTGATGGCTATTCCTATCGATCGGAAGGACATTATTCCAATATGCAAGCGTGCTATGGATCCAGTATTGGAGAAAAGTGTACACACATTAGTGAAAGAAGGTGAAACGTTAATCCATCAGTGGATCAATACGGTCTGATATGCTTACATTTATACAGAGTGTATTATTAACATAGATTATGCTGTTCTTACCAATATTTACATTAGTCCAGAGCTAATATGGCAGCAGGGTGGCACAGTGGCAACACTTGTGCCTCAGAGCAAGAAGGGCCTGCGTTTGAGTCCTCATTTGGGCACCATTCTGTGGCATTTGTATGTTCTCCACCTGTTCTGCAATGGGTTTCCTTCGGATTCTCTGGTTTCCTCCCTGAGCCAAAAAAACACCGCACATTGTCACTGGTATTGGCCAAACATCCCAATGCTCAAACACCATCTGCAAATTACTCATTTGGGATCACACACAGCAACATTGTCGTCTACTGGGAAAATATGCCATTGCTTTACACGTTGCCCTGTGGTTACACAACCAGCAATCAGTACGCGTCCATACTCAAGCAATCTTTGGACATTGGTCATCTCCACTGGGGGTCCTAAACCAATGATTGAAATGGCACATTTCTGCGGAAGTGATTAGTCCATCGACAGTCAACCACGATGGCCTTCCCACAGAATGAAATCCATTATACTCACTTCTGATGGGCGATGGTCCCAGTTGACACGGGACTGGAAGTCATCGGATTTGAAGTTGCAGTTATGAGCTGCCATTCTACCACAGTGCAGTACAGTCGGTGTCTGTCAGCATTGAATCCCATCAGTTGACAAATAGGCTACACTAGTGCTGGGATAATTGGTTTATTGAATTGATAAATGGACGAAGTTTTGTAATGGACAAATCTCCTGTTGGGTTATTAGCCGGGGCCCTTAAGTGATGTGGTTGATGGCGCTAATGATGTCACCAAGCCCTGCTCATCACCTCCCGTCCAGCGGCACACATGCCACTGCAAACTCAAAACAGTAAAGAATACCACAGGCAGCTGTATTGTTCTAAATAAATGAACTGATTTCAGTGTGAATGTAACCTCGTCATGTTAAAGACTTATGGTCATAATAATTTAGTATATTTGGGATTGGCACCATACCGAGAGTGCAAGACTATCACGAATGCACTTTTTATTGCACACAGTAATATGCAGTTGAGTAATTTGCGGATAATTTTCAAATTGGCATATTTGGATTGTGATGCTGGCACACGACGTCCTGCTCGTTTGGAAACTTTGATGTACGCTGTGAAGCAGACAGCATATATTTACAGTTGATGCACCCCACGGAGTATTGTCCAGGGTGGCCTGCCAGAACCTGAACCTCTGCAACAGGCGGTGAGCGCGCTGCTGCTGGGCCATGTCACCACCATGTCTAGGCAAGAGGCCTGAGTTTATCTTTATTGTGCACGGTGTAGGAATGTTATTTGCTTTGCAGCAGCAGCTATGAATGAGATAGGTGTCTGGTTACTCCTTGGCTCACTGCAAGTTGTTGACTTTTTTTTTGTAAAAACACAAGCACGTCTAGAGAAATCCGATCGTTTCTTTGGCTGTGTGCAGCTGCTCGTAATGGGACAGCTGCACATGAAGGTTTTACATTTTTTTATCCCCCAATTGTATCCTAACATTGGTGTCGCGACAGTGGATGGTGCGTCACCGCGTGTTCGGAGTCGGAGAGCACCCCCAGCAGATTTCACACAACATCTGAAGTCGCTTTACTTGGTCTCTTGTTCACACTTGGCAGCGCACATTTACATCCCCTGCAGGGTTTGTTTGCCGTATTACAGAGTGAAACGTTAAGTCCCTTGAACACAATTTTTTAAAATAAAGTGAATAAACTAGGTTTAATAGGGTAATTGGTGACTGAGACAAGACCACAATCGCTAAACGTGGTTTACTCATGGCTGGCTGCCTGGATTCACATCAATGATCTCAGCAGTGCCAGCTCAACGCGTCGGCACGGCCATGAACCCCACGAGCCAGCCGGTTGCTGTGTCCTCTGGCTGTAGTAACCCGGCATGGCCCAGCCGCGTGCGTGATCCTGCGCTGATGCGATCGGTGGACCTCGCAGCAGAGATGGTGTTGGGATGGCGCCCCGCTGGGCGGTGCCGTGGGGTGGGTGGCAGCACTGCTCCATCACAGCAGTCTTCTAGCCCTGCCGTCCGAATGCTTCTCTTCTTCTTGAGCGTCGCCGCCTCAGCAAAGAGCCTCGTCGCCAGGAGGATCCTGCCTCGGGTGTGCGGCCACGTATTGTTTTGCTATTCTCTATTTGGGAAGAGAAGAGCAAACTGGAGTGACGGAGGAAACCCCTGAAACGAGTTTCTTTACATTTGAACTTAAATGCATAACGTGAAGACAAATCCTGTTTAAAGATGAATTAAAACTAAAAACCTAGTGTAAGTGCATTTTCCAATGCAATACTATAAATAATAATTGCTCATTTACCCAGGAAAGCCACACTGAAGCCAATGCTCTTTTCAGGCCAATCCTGCTATATTGGGATGTTTGGTCAACACCAATTACATTGTGTTTCTGTTAGCTACGGGAAGAAACCGGAGAACTTGGAGTAAACAACAGGGGAAGAGAATACAAACTCCACACAGAAAGCTGCCCGAGTCTGAAATCAAACCCGGACGCTTCTTGCTGTTGGGCACAAGCATTAACACTGTGCTGTCACCACCCTGCCACCACCAGACCACAATTCATTTTTAAATGATCCACTACCAATGCCCTGGCTTCCTGCACATAAACTCCCACAACCATCTGCATTATTGCTTCGCTGCGATTGGATACAAATCATTATATTGTATTAATCATCACACGTGATATAAATATAGGCTTCGATGACGAGTTTCATATCTTGTTGCTGGCATTGTGCCATTCTTGATCACACATTATTATCACCCACAAGCCAAGCAGCCTCGCCCAGGCCACAGTCTAAATGATAGCATGCCAAGCAAAGTGCAAAACCATTGTTCGATTTAAAGCTTTCGTGACTGCAGGGATTCATCTTCTTGGTTCTTTCGGTAAAGTCACGTAGAAGGGAAATAATAAAATAATCTAAATTAAACATAATAAAATACAATTCTCACTAAGTGAGAATAAAACATAATAAAATACAATTCTCACTAAGTGAGAATTGTATTTTATTATGTTTTATTTTTATTATTTTATTATTTCCCTTCTACGTGACTTTACCGAAAGAACCAAGAAGATGCAAAACCATTATTCGTGGGGTGTTACATAAAAGCTACTCGCAGTCATGACTAATATAAGCTTGGTTAGCCGATCAACATGCGTCATACAATTGTACACAATTAACACGAATTTTAAGTGGTAAAGAATACGAGTTTGCTCGCAGAGGATATGAGATACGAAACCACAATTTCGGTGGAGAGTGGGATACAGTATTTATTTAACCCCAGGCAATTGTATATGATGATGGAATTTGTAAACAGGCGATTCGGCTCTCCGAGGGTGTCGGTCACGAGTGTCTTTGCGTGCGCTGCATCTGTCATTGCGTCCTGCGCCAGGCACCGCACCACTCAAAGGCATTTTCACACGGCTCACTGCTATAAACCGGCTGCTGCTGAGGCTTCTGCATGTCCTGATAAACAACAAGCGATGGTAAACATTCGCATCGCTGAGGAATAATGTCGCTTCCATTGCTGGTGTTTGTCGAACACTAGTTGGAATGTGCCGTTTACTCCAAAAAAGTGTCCCATTGATTTTTTTTTTTAAACAGAAATGCATCCTCTACACGCATGGCTACTTGTGAAGCACCCTGACTAGCAACTGCCCCCAACAGTTGTGTGTGCTGTTTTGTGCAAGCAGGTCACCAAGTTGCAGTAAACATGCAGAGGGTACGTCACTCGTGACAACACCGCTGTGGCATCTACAGATCCAACGAGCGTGCATGAGGATGCCGGCTTGCATGTGATTCTGATTCTGTATGCCTCATTCGCAACAAAACTCTAGCAAAGTTCCATCGCAAGGGCTCACCCACTTTAGGTTTATGATTATAGCAATCAACGATGTGGTATGTTTAACAGACAGGTCTCCCGCAGTCCTAAAAACTTTTATCAGAGATTCTCCACGGACTCTACCCTGGCGACCTCTCCCCTCTCATCTCACTCTACTCCCCTCCACGCACTCTCCACTCTAGCAACCAAGGCTTTCTGTTGAAGTCCCCAGTCAACATTTGCTCAGTGGGAGGTCACTCTTTCGCCTCTGCTGCCCTCTAGTCTGGAACTCCCTTCCCCCAGCCAACCAAACTTTTGACTCCATGCCCCCTTGCTAGTCCTGGCTAGAGACCTTCCCCTTCTCTGCCCAAGACTGTGTCTTCTCTCTCAACGGACAGCAGATTTTCTATTTCTAAGCCCAGTCAGGTATCAACTTAGTTTAACATCCCTTTGGGTTGATGAAATAAGTACCACTTTGTTGCGAGTCAGCAGTGGTTGTCCTATGGAGAGACTGGTTGCTATGGTTTCCACTACAGAAATGTGCTCAGGGCCCCCATTACAGATGAGCATTGTCCCGTGTGGGAGCGCGGAGAGACCCCATTCTTTACATAATTAACAAAAGGTAATGCCAGTAAAGAAGTGCATTTCCTGCGTGTACAGTATTTCCATCTTCCAGTAACAGGGCAGCAGGTTTTGCACACTCTGCACGATGAAGTTCCCACGTGACCACGCGCAATCTGCACAGGTCGGTCACAAACTTACTTGCTACTCTGCCTTATGTTGCTCATCACGAGGTCTCGCAACGTGGCACGGCTCTGATCTCTGCGCAATCCACCAACCCTGCCTCTCGGGCGGGCGAGCAATGTCCTTTGCCGTGTGTGTGGCGTAGTGAAGTTGTGTTCGCTGCGCATGGTTTAAATACAGTGCGGCATTAAATCGCAAAGCGAGCTGCGTGCACTATGGTTGTTCTAAGCGGCTACTGCGCTGGCGATTATATTCCAGCCTGTTCCGACAATAATTAAAGTCCAAATAAGTTTGCAACTACATTTTATTAAAGTGCTACAGCACTTTATTTCAAACTCCTGATAAATGGACGTAAAGCCCGTACGCGTGTCCCTGCTGAGTCACAAATCCTCCTCCAGCCTCCACCCTGGCGCAGTGTCTCTTCGCACGTTCTGCGTATCTACCATCAACAGTTATACATTCTGCAAATATCCGGGCATGTGGCTCAGTTCACGCTTGAAACTCGGTACACGTATACAAAAGATCACTGAGAAGTGTTTTATGAAATGTACACTCGTTCAGCCAGGAAACCCTTGCCGAGTCTCAAGACTTTTTTTCAGGACGGGCCTGCCAAGTTTTTAGTCAGGGTTGATGATGCTGCTGCTGCTGCTGTGTGTGATCCCAAATTAATAATTTGCAGGTACATTTTCAGCAATTACCAGTTGTATTGCATGATTTCTTTAGCTATAAGAAGAAACTAGGATTCTGGAGGAAACCCATGCAGAACAGAGGGAGAGAATATACGAACTCCATGCAGTCACGTGCCGGAGTCGGGATCGAACCCAGGAGCAGCTTGTGGTGAGGCGTGAGTGTCACCACTGCCTTATCCTGCTGCTCTTAAAGCTAAACAAAGTTCTGTTTCCAGACACGAATATCGTGCTCCTCACTATCCACAGCTAGACGCATGCAACATCACACCCATCATGACAGTGACATGACTAAATCTGCCATTAAGTTGATCTTCTTTGGTTACACCAGATGCAAACCCTTGCCGCCCTCCCATACGGTTCTGAGATGTGATTCCAGATTCAGGGAAATCTCATTCATCCACACTGCTCTACAAACCTAGAATAACCTGGTGTTAACGTCCTCAATTAAAGCCATCCCATTTAAACCTAACTTTTGCTTGGAAAGTTTGAGTGCTCTTGCTTCTGATAATTATCGTTCACACTTCATTTGAGTGTTGAGATGAGGATTCTGCTGAGATTCGTCAGTGCAACTCTTGACAGATCACACACAGATTGCTTGTTCAATGCAACCCCAGGACACAGGCAGTGAAATGAGAAGGCTGTCCTACCCCTACGGAAGCACGCTGCTTTATCTCTGCCGTGCCATTCATATCGATCACGAAGAATATCGTTGTGTCTACGCCGAGTTTAAATTTACCCCACAACCATAGGCGTCTCTCTTTGCTGTGCTCCACTTGTCCTGTGTCACTGCTAGGCAAGTATAAAACTCTGTAGAGCTGAGTGGAATTGCATATCTTTGACTCTTGCTTCTGTGGCACGTCTAGCACTTCACTGCAAAGCTTCTTAATGGCTACAGTCAATTTGCTGTGCTTCTTTGTGCTCGGTGGAATGTTTTGCCATTCATTGTGTGTGCCTTCATCACTATTCCGCTGCAGCTTTATGATTTTGCCTTTCCCCGATGTAATTTTGTTGACTCGATTTCTTTTGTGAAAAAGAGGATTCTGTGGGAGGCTGCTTTGTTCGCATTGCACTACAGTCACCATCTCTCCGGGGACACGTGATTAAATCCGGTGATGTCATTGGCTTGCCCAAAGATGTCACTGAAAATCACATTTGTTTTCTTCTGCGGCAGTGGCCTGGAACCCAAGCTTCACAATTTTTGAAACCAGCTATGAAGCCACTGATCTAGAAAAGGAGCCTCATCTTCCCCAAGGCTTAAGTAGCATTTGTTCAAAACACTGGGATGAGGTTGCATTGCCATGTAATCACGATGGAACTAAACACATTCATGCACTGTAATTATAAAGGAATTTGCAGGTTTATAGTCTCCAGGACTTAATACTTGAGCTGCTTGGAGGGGCAAAGTGGAAGTCACGTGACCTCTCAATCGATAAGCGATGCTTGCTTCTCCTGCAAGGTGACGGCACTTAGCGGCGGCAGCGGCGGCCACGACAGCAGCAGCCGTGGTTAGAGGTAGGCAGTGATAACACGCTTCTTGAGAGACGTAATTAAGGGGCCTGTTTGGGAGTAAGGGGGAAAGATGACGCCCAATTTGCGAGTTGATTCGGGTTAAGTATTGTTTATTTATGTATTCAGAGCATGCTAAAAATTTACCAAAAATGTAGAAAATTACACGCAAATTCTTAAATTGAGATGACACCACAACATCCCTCCCCAACTGTGAAAACTTGGCAGCACCCTCCTGAAAATTATTCTGGAGATGAGTCTGGAGACTCGTTTAGGCTTTCCTGGGTGAACAAGCGTGGTGGTGATAATAACAACAGCTGACAGAAGCCGTGCT